CTGTGCTTTAATGACAGAGAGAGGTTAATTGGAGTTGCACCATAGAAATTCTGTATTTTTAATGGCTGCTTTTTCATTCAGTGTATTTGCCTTGTCAGTTGAGTAAGTTTGCAGAGAGCAAGAGAGAGAATGAGAATATATTAAATAGATGATATTTCTTATTCTCCCAAAAGCATTATTCAGGGACCGAAAAGTAGCGCCAATTAGGTGCTCACTGCGTGTCCACGTCGGGAAATAAGGCCTTCTTACCTGTTCAGCCTGCGGTGGAACCACCATTTCTGTTTCCTCCAGGACGCTGTGCTGCTTTTGTGGACGCTTTCTATAGTGTGTGCTTACAGTCCCTGCTACTTTTCTCACTGTATGGATCACAGTTATTCTGTGTCATCACTAACAGTCTGTTCTTGAGCTGCTGCTTGTGCCTGACAGCAGAAATGGTCTGTATTGGTCACACAACATCCCTAGTGCCTAGCACAGTGCCTGGCCTGTGGCTGACTGTCCACAGTTGTTGAAAGAACTTGGTTTTATAGATGAGAGAACGGAGGTTGAAACTGAGTAGCTTTTCCAGATACCTAACTACTAAGTGATGAAAGGACCTCCAAAATCTGTGGTCTCACCCTATACCATAATGCCTCTATGAATGAATTACTCTGGGTTTCTACTTCCATAAAATGAGATAGTTGTACTTGGGTCCTTGTTTTCCCCCCAAATTATGACTTTATCATAAGAACCAGAGAGATAAACTTTTTCGCTCTTTGGTTTATTTTTAGACTTTACTGAATCTTTTTTTTTTTTTTTTTTTTGTCTTTTTCCTTTTTATCGGTACTGGGGATCGAACTTATGACTGCCTGCTTACAAGGCAGGTGCTTATGCTGCTAAGCTAAAACTCCAGCCCCTTTACTGAATCATTTTGCCCTTCTTTGGGGGATTATCTTTTTTCCTTTAGAAATACATCAAATGCCATTTTTGTTGGTGAAATTGTGCAGAACCTGAAGATAGGTTGTAGTGAGCAACTAGTTTTAGAAGGAAAAAGGAAAGAGTATTTCTTGGGTTTGTGTGGTTGTATATAAAGTAACCAGAAATTGAGGTAATCTTAAACATACAAGGTAAATCAGATTTTCAGTCTTTTGTATTACTGAAGCCCTCCCACTTAAGACTTTCTTTCTTTCTTTTTTTTTTTTGTCTTTTTGGGACAGTGTTTCACTATGCAGTTCAGGCTGGCCTTGAACTTACTTTGTAGCCCAGGCTGGTCTCAAATTTGCAATGATCCTCTTGCCTCAGCCTCTCAGTGCTGAGTTTATAGGTGTGCTATAGGTATGCGCCACCCCACCAGGATAAAGACTCTTTTAAGTAACTATTTAAATGTAAGTCTGTTGCCTACATCAGTGTTTCAGGGAGGGGAATCCAAAATTCGGGGTATATAGCACTAAAATTATAATATATGAGTAATTCATAGTTTTCATGACTGTAGGAGATAAATTTTTTTTTTTTTGTCTTTTTCATTTTTATTGGTACCAGGGATCGAACTCATGACCACGTGCTTGCAAGGCAGGTGCTTATGTCACTGAGCTAAATCCCAGCCCCAAGGAGATAAAATTTAAGGTTCTAAAATTTGTTTGTATCTGCTTAAATTCTTACTAATTGGTCAATTTGCTTTTGTTTGTTTAGAGACAGGGTCTTGCTGCATAGTTGAGGTTGACTTTGAACTCACTGTGCATCTCAGCCTGGAACTTGAGACTATCCTCCTGCCTCAGCCTCCTGAGTGCTGGGATTACAGGTGTGTGCCACTACGCCTGGCCTGATCAATCTGATTAATGAACTAGTAGAAAAATAGTAATTTGGCAGCCTATTCCTTTATATGCTAGGTAAGACTTAAAAAAAAAAAAAAAGACGTTTAACCCTAAGATCTGAAGAGTCAAAAGAACAAAAGGATCTGAGTTGTTTGGTTCCTCTTATGTACCTTTACTAAGAAAACTGCACGGGCTCAGCACTTCACTCTAGCTGAGTGCTCCAATCCCAGGTATAGCAGAGGAACAGGGAGGAGAAGCGTGTGAGCATGAGTACTGCCTTGCATGTCTTTAAGGTTTTCAGGTGGTTTTTCAGACACCTCGTGAAACCCCTGAGAGGTGGAGGCAGCAGGACCCATGGGTGCCATCAAGAAGTAGTTAGCTTCTACCTCCACCAACCACGTAGCGATTCCTTTATCTCTTTTGCACTGATTTCTCAGAGCATTTTGTTTGAAGAAAGGGAGTCCCTTCTTAAAACAAAATATTGGAAAACTATCACCTTCAGGTAGTTTCAGAAAAAAAAAAAATCCCCAAACCTTTCTTTTTGACTTCTAGCCATTAGTGTACGCCAACTGAACATGTCTCTCTGGCTCTTTCCTGCCTCTCGCGTTTTTCTTTATTATCCACATAGTGAATGCTGCGCAGTTACTACCATTCTATTTCTTTTCAAGCTATTTTGTAGAATTCCTTGTCTTTTTGTTCTTTTTTTTTTTTTTCTTTTTATGGTACTGGAGATTGATCCCATAGTCTCATCTCTATCACTGATCTATATCCCCAGGCCCATGGAATTCTGTTCCTAATAACAAATAATAATCATCAAGCTGTGTTGATACTTGAAAAAAATAGTGATGACCTCTATTTGATTAGAAGATGACTTTAGCTTACTTTAAAACAGTTATTTTAAAAGCAGTTTTAAGCTGAGCATGGTGGCACATCCTGTAATCTCAGCACCCTGGGAAGCTAAAGCAGGTGGATCGCAAGTAGGGAGACCCAGTCCCAAATGAATGAAAGAATGAATGAATGAATGAATACAGCTGAATATGAAGGCACAGGGTTCATGCTCTATACTTGAAAGAAAGAGACAGTTTTAAATTGCAGTGATTGCTTTATAATTTCTTAGAAATCCAAAGATTTTTATAGAAAAAAAGAATGACATCTTTAATGGTAGGGATTCAGAATATACACACCATAGTATACTAAGCTAATGTTCTTTATTTTATAATTTGGGGAATCAGGGAACAGGGACATTTATCCAGCTTCCCCTGTGCTACTCAGCTCAAATGGATGTGTGGTCTGTATTTGAATAACTCTAGAGGGGGCAGTCCTAACCACCCTCAAAGGCAGGGCGTATTCTTTGTGCCTGGCTGTTTCCTGGAAATGTCTTCTTTTACTGAGTTAGTGTATCTTCTCACAGGAACCTGGTTTTACTTTAAAAGCTTTGAAACTAACTCTATTTTCCTTACTTTGGTCATGGCAAGGATAATGCTAGTAAACAAAAATAAATCATGCTGGCAAATAAGTGAGACCACTAACTTGTTTTATTCTTTTTCATTTGGTTTCCACTTCAAAACATAAGCCTAAGCAGACTTAGAATCTAAGTTATTTTAAATATTTTGATTGCCAAACTTATTAGATATATTTGTATGAGTTTAATTCACATTTCCTTGATTTAAGGGCATTACTGTGAATTGCAGCTGTTCAAATCTGTAGAAGTATCTTCAGGCTCACTGGAGTTTTGTGGGACCATTTTCATGTTATGTTCAGTCATGTTAGTTCACTGCAATAAGTATTTAGTGATTATGTTCTTGAGTATAGATTCCTTGTATGCACTGGAGATGCAGACATGGATGAGATGTGAGTCAAAATATTTCAGCTGGGACAGTGTTGGACTGAAGACATAAAGGTCCTTTATGCAATCCATTCAGTAAAGCTACTACCAAAAACCATGGTGATTGCATGCCTGTAATCCTAGCTGGGGAGGAGGATTACATGCCATGAATTTGAGGCCAGCCTGGGCTACCTTGTGAGACTCTGTTTCAAAACACCTAACAGGGCCGGGATTTAGCTCAGTGGCATAATAAGCACCTGCCTTGCAAGCATGCGGTCATGAGTTCAATCCCTAGTACAAAAAAACAAAAAAAAAGGGGCTGGGGGTTTAGCTCAGCGGCATAAGCACCTGCCTTGCAAGCAGGCGGTTGTGAGTTCGATCCCCGGTACCGATAAAAATGAAAAAGACAAAAAAAAAAAAACAAAAACAAAAACAAAAAACAAAAAAAAAACCCAAACAAACAAACAAAAAGAATGGTATTACAGTATTTGTAATAAGGAGACTACAGATAAAGAAGTGGAAACAAATGAAATGTCACATTGCTCTGCTACAGAAGGGGTAAGTACTACACTAAAGCACAGTGGAGGATCTGAGCGCGAGTTAAACAGGCTGGTAATCTATAGGACACAGAAACAGATTACCACATTAGGGTACAAATGTATCCTAGTATCAGGGATGGCCTTAGCAAAGTCTGAAAGTGCACTTGATATCCTTGGAGTGGCAATCATTTCCTGTTTGTGGAACACTTGAGAAAATAGGAGAAAGATAGCAAGAGATAGAACAGGAAAATAAGTGAAGGAAATTATATGTGCCTTAAGAAGCCTGAACCTAAGTTTTTCAACACTGGGGACCCATATTAATAGGCTGATATGATTAGATGTATCTTATAAATTCTGGTAGCATTATACAGAATGATATAGAACAATAGTTCCGAAACTTAGGTTATCCTCTTCCATCTTTTTTATTTTGCTAATGAAACAGACCTGTAAGAAAAGGGGAATATGACTGATGCACTGAATTGTTTACACATGTAATAATGGCTTTTTGTTTTTATTATCTGTGACTGCTTTCTTTGGTTTTAAAGTTCCTTCTATGTTAACAGGTTATTATTATTTTACATTGATAATAGTGTGCTTGCTAAAACAGGGCCTGTCTTCCTTCTGGTTAAAAATGCAAATAACCAAGCTCAGGTCTGATAGGTGAAGGTAGTCTGTGGCCTTCAGTGAGTCATCTAGAGACATATTTTGGTCTGTAGAAGACTTTCTTTTGATTCTTGTGTTCGTCTAGATCTTTATAACTGAGATACTCACCAATTTAATATAAGTGGAATATAACTGTAATTTGCTTAAAATATCATAGTCACTCATTTTAAATTTATTTTAATGTAGGTTATTGGAGGTGTGCTTCAAAAATTTCAGCAGTTCAGCAGTATTTTATCTGCCAACAATAATCTCTTTACTTGATTGCACCATGAAAAAGCTGCTAATGAGACTTGTTGAGCACAAAAGTGGACTTGAAGAATCAAAAGCCATTGTTTCCAAATGAAGAATCTTGAACAGTTTTAAGCCTTGATGCTTTTTAGTCACGACTGAGATTTACTCGTAACATCAGAATGGCAAGCAGGCGAAAATCAACAACACCTTGCATGGTCCTTGCCAGTGAACAGGATCCAGACCTTGAGTTGGTATCAGATTTGGATGAAGGTCCTCCTGTCCTTACACCTGTAGAGAACACCAGAGCAGCGAGCATCTCAAGTGACGAGGAAGTTCATGAATCTGTGGATTCTGACAATCAACAAAATAAAAAAGTTGAAGGTGGTTATGAATGTAAATATTGTACTTTTCAAACTCCAGATCTAAATATGTTTACTTTCCATGTGGATTCAGAACATCCCAATGTAGTGCTAAATTCATCCTATGTTTGTGTTGAATGCAATTTTCTTACCAAAAGGTATGATGCACTTTCTGAGCATAATCTGAAATATCACCCAGGTGAAGAGAATTTCAAGTTGACTATGGTAAAACGTAATAATCAGACAATCTTTGAACAAACCATAAATGATCTGACTTTTGATGGCAGTTTTGTTAAAGAAGAGAATACAGAACAAACAGAATCCACAGAAGTTTCTTCTTCAGGAATCTCTATCAGTAAAACTCCCATCATGAAAATGATGAAAAGTAAAGGAGAAAACAAACGGATTACAGTCCATCATAACTCAGCTGAGGATGTTCCTGAAAAGAAAGACAGTGAAATCAAACCAGACCGTGAAGAAAACATAGAAAGTGCAAGTTCTTCAGCTCCAGAATCTAATACGAGTACTTCCGTTGTAAACCGAATACATTCAAATACTGCCAGTACAGTGGTGACCCCTACAGCAGTCCTTCCTGGACTAGCACAGGTCATCACTGCAGTGTCAGCTCAGCAGAACTCTAACTTAATTCCCAAAGTCTTAATCCCTGTCAATAGCATTCCTGCCTACAATGCTGCATTAGATAACAACCCCCTTTTACTTAACACCTACAACAAATTTCCTTATCCAACAATGTCGGAAATCACAGTTCTTTCTGCTCAAGCAAAATATACAGAGGAACAGATCAAGATTTGGTTTTCTGCCCAACGTCTGAAACATGGTGTTAGCTGGACTCCAGAAGAAGTAGAGGAGGCAAGAAGAAAGCAGTTCAATGGGACTGTACATACTGTTCCTCAGACCATAACTGTCATCCCTACACACATTTCTGCGGGGAGTAACGGGTTGCCATCCATTTTACAGACATGCCAAATAGTTGGCCAGCCAGGTCTGGTTCTTACCCAAGTGGCTGGAGCAAATCCCTTGCCTGTGACCGCACCAATAGCCTTGACAGTGGCAGGGGTTCCCAATCAGACAAATGTACAGAAAAGCCAAGCACCTGCTGCTGCACAGCCTGTTGCAGAAACAAAGCCAGCCCCAGCAGCAGCTCCACCTCCCCAAAATGTCAAGCCCGAAGCGCAGGTGGTAAACCCTGATTCGTTTGGCATTCGGGCAAAAAAGACTAAAGAACAACTGGCAGAACTGAAAGTTAGCTACCTGAAAAATCAGTTTCCCCATGATTCAGAAATCATCAGACTTATGAAAATCACAGGCCTGACGAAAGGAGAGATTAAAAAATGGTTTAGTGACACAAGGTACAACCAGAGAAATTCAAAAAGCAACCAGTGCTTACATCTCAACAGTGATCCCTCCACCACCATTATCATAGACTCCAGCGATGAGACCACAGACTCACCGACGGCGATCACTTCGCAGCCCAAGCAGTCCTGGAGCCCTTTTCCTGACTTCACTCCCCAGAAGTTTAAAGAGAAAACTGCAGAGCAACTTCGCGTTCTCCAGGCCAGTTTTCTCAACAGCTCGGTTCTTACAGATGAGGAACTAAATAGGTTACGAGCGCAAACCAAACTTACCAGAAGAGAAATTGATGCTTGGTTTACAGAGAAAAAGAAATCAAAAGCTTTAAAGGAAGAGAAAATAGAAGTAGATGAAAGTAACGCAGGTAATTCCAAAGAGGAAGCTGGAGAAACTTCTCCTGGAGATGAATCTGCCCCGCCTAAGTCAGGGAGTACAGGCAAGATATGCAAAAAAACCCCGGAGCAGCTGCACATGCTGAAGAGCGCATTCGTGCGCAGCCAGTGGCCGTCCGCGGAGGAGTACGATAAACTGGCTGAGGAAAGTGGCCTTGCTAGGACAGACATAGTCAGTTGGTTTGGGGACACGCGTTACGCTTGGAAGAATGGAAACTTGAAGTGGTACTACTACTATCAAAGCTCCAACTCGAGCAGCATGAACGGCCTGTCTTCCCTCCGGAAAAGAGGGAGAGGGAGGCCCAAAGGGCGAGGCCGAGGAAGACCCCGTGGGCGGCCACGAGGAGGCAAGAGAATGAGCAACTGGGACAGGATGCCATCGCTGATAAAATTTAAAACTGGAACTGCAATCCTCAAGGATTATTACCTGAAGCACAAATTTCTCAACGAGCAAGATCTTGATGAACTCGTCAACAGATCACATATGGGCTACGAGCAGGTCAGAGAGTGGTTTGCAGAAAGACAGAGAAGATCCGAGCTAGGAATAGAATTATTTGAGGAAAACGAGGAGGAAGATGAAGTTATTGATGATCAGGAAGAGGATGAAGAAGAAACTGATGATAGTGATACTTGGGAACCCCCGCGACATGTGAAGCGGAAACTTTCCAAATCGGATGACTGAAATGTAAGTTTTTAACCTGAATATACATTCATCAGCCACGTACAGTTTTAACATTCTCGTTGTTGTAGCAGTCATTGTCACTTTTGATAATTTTTTCTAAGACAATTTTTCTTCTTTTTTCTAATAAGAGAACTAGGTGCCCTACATGCATGATTATCATGTGTCATATAATTATTTTTAGAGTTTAATGTTGCTTTAATTAGTTTTCATACATAATTAGTTTCAAGGGAAAATTACTTACTTTGTAAGAAAGGAGATGGAGCCAGACACAAACTGAAGACGACTAAAATGGGTTTCTCACAATCCTCCCTTTAGTTAGCCTTTATTTTTTCACCTATTTAAGGGGGAAAAAGAAGGAAAAAAATATACCAAAGAAAGACAGCAGGGTTTCTCACTTTTAAGCAACTAGGTGAAAATAGTTTTCTTTTTCATCTTCACATTGACCCCAAAACTTATCTTTATAATGTGTTTTTCCTTAATCCTTTTAGACCTAATGTGTCATTTTTGGAATGGCACCTAACAGTGGAGCATAATAAAAATTTTTCTCTTCAAATTCTTGTTCTTTGACTTTTTCTAAGTAACATCTGAGGATTTCAAACCAAAATTCAAAAAACTGCAATCTTTGACATAAATGAATTAAAGCATAAATAAATACTTAGGTGATATTTGTTTTTGAAAATTTGTAATGCATATTATTCTGTTTTAGAGAGCAAAAGATTTGATATTAACTCAGTTGCTTAAAATATCATTTCATTCTTCCATACAAAACAAACCTGATACAGCACAAGTACTATGTTCTGCTAAAAAAGTGTTTATCATGTTTGGTTAAAAAATAAGAATCTACAGTTGTAAAAGTACAAACTAATATAGCTTAAACTGGAAAGATTTTTGTGTATTCCTTAAATCTTAATTCTTTTATTATAATTGCAGTTTTATCATCACAAATCAAGTGCCTAATTGGGAATTAGAACTTCAGTTCTTAGTATGGAATTTAGTAACATTGTTTTATTCTCTTTCTGTTCTCCCTTTTGGAGTATTCTAGGATAAAAATATACTGTTTTTTTTTTTAATGTACTGTTTTGAAAACAACATAGTTGTCATAAAATGTCTACGTTTGTCTGTCTGTAGTTCAAATAGTACCTTGCTATCGGAAATGACTGTAGTGTTCTCAGGACAGTAAAGGACGAAAGGAGACAGGCTATCTTTCTTGTTTTGCATATGAGATTATTTAATTATTTCCTTGGCTTTCTACATTCCTCACTCATCCTTTATTTTTTTTTTTAATTTTATTTAAGAGGAAAAAGAGAAAAACACAAAACAAAACAAAGCGGTGTAAGGGTACACATAATACAGAACTACAAAGAAAAAAAAAACATAACAGTAAGAAATCACCTGTTAATAGATTACATATTATCATCTTGGAAATAGTTGCTCAAATCACAGTATCAAAGAATACAAAGTGGACATTCAAACAGAGAGACTGCAAACAGCTGTGTTTAATGATCCAAAAACATTAATATAGTCAGCTATTTAACACCCCTAAACACACTTGCTGTTATATCCGTTAGAGCTCTTTTTTTTTCCCCCCTCTCTTTTTTACAACAAAATTTACACATTTTGGATTTTATTACTCCTTAGTTCTTATTACTTTTTTGGGGGGGAGAGAATAAAGTCAAATATGGCAAAACAAAGCTGTCAGTCAAAACCAAGGATAGACATAGCACATGATGTAGAACAGAGTACAAGGTTATCAACAATGGTTATCAACGTTGTCTCTTGTTTCCTTAAAAAGAATTGTCTATCTCATTAGATATTATAAAGTTGGACAAAACAGTAGAGAACAAGACCAATAAAACTTAGGCATTGTAAACATTACAGGACTTACAAAGGAGACAATAGTCAAACCAGAATGGGCATCTTAGTGAATCTTACTGCCTTCAAAGTAGTTGCCTATACCCTCAATCTTGATACTATCGCACAGAATGGAACAGAGTCTGATCAGTCAAAACAAGATCATGGGAGTATTACAGGCCTTCAAAACAAGTTAATAGGAAATCAAAAAGAGTTACTATTATATATCATAATTTTTTTAATTTTTCCCCTTAATTAAAACAAACATAAGAAATAACTAAATAATTTTTTTAAAGAATAAGGGAGAGATTGAGTTAAAACAGGACATAACAATATAACAATAGAGGTCAAAGCATGACTGTTTCAGCAACCTTGTGCTTCACCACCAAATAACCCGATTTAATAGTAGTTACCATAGTGTCTCTCTTTTCATCCTTTATTTTTATACAGTCTTATTCTACACAGTATTTCTTATTTCCCTCATGTCTTCTTCCTAGTTTATTTATTTTAACAATTATTTACAAAGACCTTAATATGTACACCAGGTACTGACCTTATTGCCTAGCAAAAGTTTTCAGGGCTTCTTTTCATTAACGGTGTTTTTTTAAGGCAGGAAAACAAATGAACTAAAAGGTACCTGTTTTAATAAGCAACATAAATCTCATTCCAAGTTAATAGAGCATAATGTAATCACTGTAAGTCATAAGAAGCTAAAGTTTCATCCAGCTTTATCCTGAAAGACGGTCCTCCACTTCCTCATGTCAGAAAGCTTCAGGACAGACTTTGTGCTGACCCAGATGCATAAAATATTTTTAACAGGCATTTTTTAAAATTGCTAAACACAAGAATATGCACTCAGCCAAGATTAAATCAACAAATTTGTTGCTGCAGTGAATTGTTGCTGAGGCTCCGCACTGCTTTTCTGAAGAGTTATAATCTTCTAAAAATAATATGAACTTCCTGTGTGGTTTATTTTGACCTTACTTTAAATTTGTGTGGATAATTCTTACGTTTTATATCAATATTTACATACTAATTATACTAAGAGACTTCACATAAAGCTACAGTTTTCAAAAAATATTTATATATGTAACATGCATTTTTGTAATGTGGATAGAAGCACACTTTGTTTTTAAAACATAAAGGTCTGAAATTATAAAACACATAAATTCATGTCTTATCTCTGTTTTAATAAAATGATTTTTTGCTTATCAGAGGCACTGTCCTTATTGCCTAGCAAAATTTTTCAGGGCTCCTTTTCATTTTTTTTTTTTTTAAAGCCAGTCAGATTTAGCAGTGAGGGGGGTGGTATACCAACTTTAGTGACACTAATGTTAATAAATTCTGATAACCCACTACCATCGGACCAGCCTTCATTAATTTTTTTTTAAGGCAGGAAAACAGATGAACTAAAAATGTACCTGTTTTTATTAATGCTGCTTATTAGCAGCATAAGTTTCCAGTAAAAAGTTATTTATCCATTTAAATATGGCTCAACTGATTTAAAAAAATGATCAAAACCTTCTCAAAGATATTGCAGCAAGTGAAGTACGTTTATGTCTTTTGCACATGCCAGCTTTGGATGTAGATTAGAAAAAATGGCAAGTTTTTAGATTTTGTAATTTATTCATTACAAATTCTGACAGTTAAAAATATACTTAATACTAACAATTTTTATCAATAGAGGGAGGTGATAAATGTCACAAAGAAATGTGGCACATAATGAACATATGTCATAGAAATTGCTCAAAGTCTAGAGCATCATATGAAATGTATGTGGGAAGTGAACTCAGTATTGAGAGAAGACAGAGGATGATTTTCATAGCTAACTGTATTTACTGTTTTTAGGGTTGTAAAAATTAAAATATTTTCTTTAAAGTTTCAGGTTTTTTGTTTTTGTTCTTCTTTTATAGCTGCTTAAAATTTTGAAGGAGAATCAATTCAAGATATCTGATTTACTGTGAATGGGCCCAATCTTCGGTGACACTGAAAATGTTTTGGGGAATACAAACTCTCAAAAAACAGGATCCAATGTCCAAAAGAAATGGAGCTTAATGTTGTGCCAAAGTTAAACTACTGCAGCTGGTGGAAGTTCTGCAATGTAAATAGAACAGTAATTAAAAACAACTTGTAAAAATTCAAATTTTAATACAGTACATTTTTATTCTGCTAACATGGAGACATTCTGAATTTTGGACTTTTTGAAGGGGTTTAATGACCACTAGAGTTTGTTCTCATATTTAGTCCAGCTTACCAGGATGTGTCTAGTAAGATGAGCTGTATTGCCTGTATTCTCTGATACGTGATTAAGCTTACAGCTTTGAGTGACCAAACATTTTAAAGAGTCAAAATTGTTAGAAATGGGGGAAAAAAGCCCTGATCCTTGGTTTATTTCTGTATCTTATTTATCAGGCCTTGTAACAAGATTAAAAATTGTACGTAAGCCTAAACAATTTCAAGCATAAAAAGAACCTATTTACCCATGTTGGAACAATAAGATTTTGTGGTATCACCGGCCCTTAATGATTAGATCTTTCATTGAGCACTCACGGATACCACTATTTCTGTTTGTAATACTTATGTTACTTTTTTTCATTAGAAGCTGTTTTGCTTGTTATTAAACTGAAAATAATACCGAAGAAGGAAAAGAAACTGCTAAAAGAAGTGGAATAGAATAAAACTCTAAAATAAATACTGTACCAAAAAATGTGAACAAGAATCATGTGATAAAATACATTACTGTTTTCTTACAATCATGTGGAGATCAGAAATGTTTGTAGAAATGTCAGATCAGAATTTTTTAAGAACTATCTTTTGTGAAATTCTACCGTGTGTAACAATTTCAGTGAACAGAGAAAAATTCTGAACTGATTCCAGTGAGTTAACAGTTAGCTTTTCACTTATGAATCATGGGCGTGTTTAGCTGTTAACTCTTTCTACATCAGGAGACTGCAAGTTTATATTAACTTAATACTTTGTAAAGACGGGTGCTGTTCATGTTGAGAAGGACCCTCTCCTTTGTGACCATAGGACCATTTTGCAAAATGTGCTTTCTTTATGGAAGAAGTATTCAGTTTAATGAGCTTTGGATTTTAAAATGTTTTTCTGAATGATCACATGTAGTGGGCTTGGCCAGTTTATTTTATCTAATTTAATGAATAATAAATATTAAGCTCTTGGTTAAATGTTTGTCAGCTAATGAAAATATTATGAAAAAGCCTTGAATATGCATGCTGCTTTCATTTTTATAAACTTTTTATTTTTTACCTATAGCTTTATTAGTAATTCTCAAATGCTGCAATTTAGCTGATTTCTTCACTCAGACAGTTGGCTTTGTGGGTGGCTTTTTTCATACTACTGTTAACTTTTTTAAAAAAGAAGCAATGTAAAGACTGTAACAATTGAATGCACTAAACTCTTCTTTTACATGTTTAAGAACTTCTTAAAGCACTCTGTATTATAATGATTAAATTGTTCCCTTTTTTAAACCATTGCTAACGTGGTCTGAGTTTTGTTTGACAGTAATTTTAATGTTTTCAAAATTTGAAATGTCAAGTATTGGAATATATTTATATTATGTTTGAATATATTTATATTATGTTTCCCTTGTGATATGTTAACTCTGTATAGCTGTAAATAACTACAGTATTAATAAAATTTTCCCATCTCTTTTATATAGAGTGGATAAAACTCTACTCCGATGTTTGCCAGCTTTTAAATATATTTATTTGACAGAGCAAGAGAACCTTTCTCTCCTGGTTTATTGTTTCCTTAAATACAAAATAAAAGCAGTGATTAGTAGTTTTCAGTGACGTTTTTCCATTTTATTAACTCAGTAAGTTTTTAAAATTGTGGCATAATATAACATAAACTTTGCCATTATACCCACTTTAGCTATACAACTGAGTGACATGAAATTGTATTCACAGTGTTGCTCAACAATCATCACTGTTTCCAAAAATTTTTTATCACCAAAACAGAAACTTGCAGCCATTAAGCAATAACTCCCCGTTCTCTCCAACCCTGGGTAACCTCTAATCTACTTCTGTGTCTATGAAGTTGCCTATTCTTGATATTTCAAATAAACAGACTCATGCAATGTTTGTCCTTTTCTATCTGGCTTGTTTCACTTAGCATGTTGGCAAGGCCATTCATGTTGCAGCATGTATTAGAATTTTTTAAATAGCTGAATTATATTTTGTTGTGTATATATTCACTGTGTTTTGGTTATCACTTACTTGTTGATGACACTTGGGTTGTGTCCACCTTTGCCTGTTGTAAATAATGCTGCATCGAGCACTGACATACCAGTATTTTTTGTTTTGCAGTATTGGAGTTTGAACCCATGACCTTAACATTGAGCAACATTCCTCTGCCCTTTTTATTTCTTACTTTGAGGCAGAGTCTTGCTAAGTTGCCCAGGCTAGGTTTGAATTTCTGATCCTCCTGCCTTAGTGTTCCAGAGTGCTGGCATAACAGGCATGCACCACTCTACCTGGCTTTGGTTCTTTTGGATGTATTTCTAGAAGTGAAACTCTTGAAGCAGATGTTTTATTGGTTGGTTCTGCAGCACTGGAGGTTAAATCCAGGGCCTTGTACTTAATACACAGTATTATCACTGAGCTCAATTTAATTTATTTTATTTTGAGACAGTATCTTGCTGAATTGCCCAAGCTGGTCTTAAACTTGGAATCCTTCTGCCTTAGTCTCCTGCGTGGGTAGGATTACAGGCATGAATCACAATAGCTCTATGTTTAACTGTTTCAGGGACTGCCAGACTCTTTTCCTACAATACCAAACTATTTTCAGCAGAATCTGTATGTTGTAATTTTATTAGTAGTGTACAGGGGTTTCAGTTTCTCTCCCTTCTTGTTCATGCCTGTTAATAAAATTATTATATAATGTAGTTAATGTAAGGATAGAGTGTAGGGAACAAAAATAGTTCTAGCAGAGGCTGGGGATTAAGCTCAGTGGCATAAGTGCCTGCTGTGCAAGCATGCAGTCGTGAGTTCGATCCCCGGTACCGATAAAAAAGAAAAAGACAAAAAAAAAAAAATAGTTCTAGCCATTTCAGTAGGTAGGAAATGGTATCTCACTGTGGTTCTTACTTGCATTTCTCTAGTCATGGAAGACCATGGGACGGCTCTCCCTGAACAACCGCTTGTCTCCATGTTGGCTAACCCTGGCCCTACTTCCATGCACTGATATGTACGGAGCTGGCTAGGGTAATATTCTCCACCCTCAACTGACCCAAAGCAGTGCAAATGGGTCTCTTGGATGTGCTGATGCATATAGCCTTTGAAGTAAGGTGACAGGTCAGTGATGCCCCGCCTGCTTTGTAGCTCCCAGCTCCTTACTTGTTTCTAGCAATGTTCTGTAGTTTTCAGTGTACACGTCTTTCACCTTCTTGGTTAAATTTATTTAATTTAAGTATTTAATTTACTTTATTGCACGGATTGTACTAGGGATTGAATACAGGGCTTCAGCCCTGAGCTACATTTCAACGCCTTTTAAAATTTTGTTTTAAATGTTGAGACAAGATCTCCCCAAGTTTCCCAAGCTGGGCTTGAATTTGCAGTCCTCATGATTTATCCTTCCGGAGTGCTGGGGTTACAGTGCATAACACCACCAAGTCCAGTTAGTATTTTATTATTTTAGATGCTGTTAATAGGATTTCTGTCTTTCTATCTGTCTGTCTGTATTTCTTTCTTTTTTCTTTTTTGGGTTGTTTATTTCTGGGGTAGAGAAAGATTGATTTTCATTTGTTGATCTTGTGCTGAATTTATTAGCTCTAGTTAGCTCTCTTGTGTGTTCTTTGGGGTTCTCTAAACATAGGATCATGTTTCTGTGGGTATATGTCCTTTCCAATTTGTTTCTTTTTTCTTGTTCTTTTTTTTTTTTGTGGTGGTATTGGGGATTGAATTCAGGGCTTTATGCATGGTAGGCAAGCACTCTACCACTAAGGTACATTTCCAGCCCCTCCTTTCCAATTTGAATGCTTTTTATTTATTGCCTAATTGCTTTGGCTAGAACTCATAATATTATATTTTAAAAAGGAACAGAAGGGGCTGGAGATTTAGCTCAGTGGCATAAGCGCCTGACTTCAAGCAGACAGTCGTGAGTTCGATCCCCGGTACCGATAAGGAAAAAGACAAAAAAAAAAAAAAAGGAACAGAAAAATAAAAAGCTAGATACCTCTTCCTGTCTGACCATTGCTTAGTCCTGGATCACTCTCAACCCTCTGGGCTTGTGGTGAGCCTGAGAATCAGCCCAAGGTGAACACTTAGGGTCTGCCTCAGTTTTTCACTAGTATGGATCTTGCCCTGGGTATGTGTATGCCTTTACAAGCTCTTCCAAATACACAGGAACTTTTGAATGTCTTGTCTTCCCAAGGAATCTTCCAGTCTTTTTCCCTTTGCAGTGTAGTATATGCCTCAACTATAAAATTGCCATGGGAATTTTCAGGTCATTGGTTCACGTTGCAGTCTTTTCAAGCAATGTCCACTGCTTTTTAATCCAAGTACCAAGTTATACAAAACAAGGAAGCATCTTCCATCGGTCCTTCAGACAGATTGGAACATGTACACTTAGTTCTTTGTAAATAAGGTCTTCTGTGTTTGCCCTGGAACCAGGGACTAGGACTCCATAGCTGAGAACATGGATTGTTTATCGTCTCCCCACTAAAATTTAAGTTCCATGAGAGCAAGGATCTGATCTTATTTATCACTATATTTTTCACTCTGAAAACAGTGCTTGCCTTTAATAGATACGCAACAAATTTTACTTGACTCAATTTACAGAAATAGGAAATTTGAGTGAAATCAAAATATTAATATATGTTGATTTAAAAAAATGAAAATTGGGGCTGGGGATTTAGCTCAGCGGCATAAGCGCCTGCTTGCGAGTAGTCAGTCCTGAGTTCGATCCCTAGTACCGATAAAAACGAAAAAGACAAAAAAAAAAAAAAAAAAAAAAGAAAATTAGTGGGATGATTCTCATGTCTGCGATATAGGAATACATTTTGCTTGTAAGGAACAGAAAAAGGTGGAAAAGAGGAGAAAAGAATATTTACAAATATCTATGGAAATATCTATGGAGAATGACTACTCAGAGAAAAGCTGTGTGGATATGAAAGGAAGAAATGTGGTTTCACACAGGTGTTTTTGACTGTGAAGCTCCGTAATTCTCTATCATAGCACATCAATAAATCTGTAATTAAAGAATTTGCCACTGCTTCCCCATCTTAGTAAGGGCTTTGTGACAGCAAGGACCATGAGTGGCATATCTTTGGCTCATGGCACAGAGGAGGCCCTCAAACACATTGCATTATACATGGAATGGATAAATTAATACTGTGTTACACAGTTTGGGCATTCTCCTAAGACAGTGTGTTCAGAGGACTGGCTTTTGGAAGTCTCTGGCTCATGAGGACTCTAACTTCATCAGTGGCTTAATCCATTGATAGATTTATAGTCTTACAGTATTATCAGGATATGAGGAACGGGGGCATCACCGAAGGAGGTTGGTTATGGGGAACTATGTTTTGTCTCTGGCCCCTTCTTTGAATCCTTTTCACCCCCCTGCTTCCCGGCTGCCATGACAGAAGCAGTTTTGTCTCACAATACGCTTCCAGCATGTTTCTGCCTCACGGCAAGCCTAAAGCAATACAGCCAGTTGACTATGAACTTAAAACTTCTGAAGCTGTAAATCAAAATTAAAAATCTTTTCTCCTTTGAGTGGTTTATCTCAAGTATTTAACCACAGCAACAAAAAGTTGAGTAATACAAAAAATAGGTGTCATAAATGGGTTGTTGCTGTGACTACACCTGCTCTGATCATGTGGCTTAAAACCTTTGGAACTTGTTTGTGAGAGGAATTTGGAAAAACATGGAAATGTAGCTTAGAAAAATCTCCAGGTATTTTTTTCTTTATTGGTACCGGGGATCAAACTCATGACCACACGCTTACAAGGCAGGCACTTATGCTACTGAGCTAAATCCCTGGCCCTATCTCTAGGTATTTTAAGTGAAGCTTGATGGTTGATCCTGGTGGATCAGAATGCTGACAGGAATACAGATAGTAAAGATTCATGTGCTCATGAGGTTTCAGATGAGAATGAGGACTTTATTGGGAATTGGGCTGGAGACCTTGAGTATTACATTCTGACAAAAAATGTGTCTACATGTTATCCATGCTTTACTACTGTGTGAAGCTATTTAAAGGCAATGCACTAATTATTCTGGTGGAAATTTCAAGGTAGCATAGCATCAGGTAGTGGCATGTATATTTTTGGCTGACTGCTTTTACAGTGAGAACTGGGAGCAAAAAGTAGAACTGACAGATTTGAGAAACTTGCAGCATGGCCAGGAAGGAAGCATGTGTACAGGGTACTGAACAGATTAGTGCCATTTAGAAGCTGCCAAGTACTTTGCACAGAACAACAGGAAAGAGGTTTTGAGGGTATTTTGGAAATCAAGACCCCACTCCTGGTACCAATTTTCTGTGTTAGCCTGTCATCACTGTAAGATGGTATCTGAGATAAGCAACTTAAAGGAGAAAAGATTTATTTTGGCTCATAGTTTCAAAAGTTTTATTTATGAGTAGCTGGCTACATTGCTTTAGGCCTGTGGTGGGAGGCAGAAACAACATAGCTGAAAGGTGTGGTGGAACAAAGGGGATTGCTTATGGCTTCCAGGAAGCAAAAAGAGATGGCAAGAGCCAGAAAGGAATGGACAGAGCCGGTGAGGAAGGGGCCACAGACAAGATATAGTCACCAAGGTCACACTCCTGTGACCTACTCCTTTCAACTAGGCCCTGATTTCTAAATTTTTATTACTTCCCAGTATAAATTTTATTATTTCCCAATAATAATGAAATTACCATGTGATCAATGGGTTAATATACTTATTTTTTTTTTTTTTGTCTTTTTCATTTTTATCAGTACCAGGGATCGAACTCACGACCGCCTGCTTGCAAGGCAGGTGCTTATGCCGCTGAGCTAAATCCCCAGCCCCGGGTTAATATACTTATAAAGCTGGAGACCTCACAGTCTGATCCCCTTCTAAAAGACCCACATTGAAACAAATACAAGTAACATTTTTGAGACTGTTTTTTTTGAGACAGGGTCTTCCTATGTAGTTCAAAGTGGCTATGTAGCCCAGGCTGACCTTGAACTCTCTGCAGTCATCCTGCCTCAGCCTCCCAAGTGCTGGGATTAAAGGTGTGTGCCACCATACCCAGTTTAGACACATTTTAGATTTAAACCAGAACACTATTTAATATCCTATAGGAACATACAGTGTAGACTGTCATTCAGTAAAACACTGAGCAAGGGTGACTGGGTGCCAGACACTGTGATTGGTGGTAGACACAGTGACCCACAGTGGAAAGTGCTCATGGTCTACCAGGGATGATGGACAAGAGAGCATGGGATGAAAAAGTGAATGTGGACATCAGCTAGAGAGATTGTAAAATATCTCTAGATGGAGAGAAGGACTTGGTGTTAGTTGAACCCAGACAAGGGCCATATGAGCCAGGCTGAGGAGTCAGGAGAGGTTAAAAGGCTGGGGTGTGTGGCTGCGTGTATCTGTGTTTCTAACAAAGGAAAGGGAAGACTGCAGGAGGGAAAGACTGGACAACAGAATGTGGGAGGCTGGTTCAGAACGCAGCTGGTTGGAGGCAGGATTCAGGTAAGGTCCCAGGGTGTTGAGGGTTCACCATCCTGATTCGGGGAGGTTTCACAGGGGAGTGTTGGTTCCTACCCTCCTCAACTCACAGACAGGATGTGAATATGTGACCCAGACTGATAAGTGCTCCTTCCATCATATCCTAGTGCTCCTCCCTGTCATTCACCTGCCATCCAACAGGCACTGAATGAGGTTCTCTGGACCAAGCCTTCTGGGGGCTGAGTTTACAGGAGTAAAAGGCACCATCTTTGGCCTTGACAGTACATAGTGTGTCAAATGCACAGTAAGTAGGAACAAGGGAAATCAAGACAGAGGAGAAGCCTTCAAACAAAAGGCAGACTTTTTATAGCTGAAAATCTATAGAAACAGATTGGTGATAAAAGGGCTGGAAACCTCTCAGCCCAGGAATTGAGTCCATAGTGCAGAACCATCATCATAAGCTGCCCCAGCAGACTTCCTGCCACCTCAGCAAAATGGAGCTCAGCTGGTGCCTGTGCTAGCAGGAGGCTGGACCCAGAGCTCTTTGACTGAACAGGACAGTGTTGAATTCCAAGACCAGACAGCCTTCAGAAAGAACATGTAAAGGATATCCTGTCCTCCTTGCCTGCCTTTGCTTTGCTATTCCTCTGCACTTGGAGGAAGAATTTTTTTTTTTTTTTGAGATAAGGTCTCCCCATATAGTCCATGACTATCCTTGCACTATGTAGCCCCCGCTGGCCTTGAGCTAACAGCAATTCTCCTGCCTCAGCCTCCCAAATGCTGGGATTACAGGCATGTGCCACCATGCCTGGCTCTGGAGCAAGAATTTGTAATGTGGGCCGGGGATTTAGCTCAGTGGCTCAAGCCCTTACTTGGTAAGCACAAGGTCATGTGTTCCATCCCCGCCCCCCCCCAAAAGAGAACAATCACAAAAAAAGAATTTGTAATGTATGTTTACCCACTTGCTATCTGACAGGCATCATATATACTACTTTAACCAGTACCAAGATCTCTCTCTCTTAACACTAGGCTGTACTGTTTCTGTTAGGATGAGGCTTATTAGAATTAACAGTACCTATCTCTACCTTCTTAGGACCCTGTTTCTGTTGGATGATACTATAAATTGCTTTCCTATTTTCCTAAATCTCAAAATTTTCCCTAATAATTAAATTTTGGGAAAACAACATTTTTAAAAAATGGACCCTCTCTGAGCTAAGTGTGATGGTGCATGCTTGTACTCCCTGCAGTTTGGGAGGCTGAGGCAGGAAGATCGTAAATCTGAGCCCAGCCTGGGCAATTTAGCACATTAATGAGGCCCTGTCTGAAAATAAAAATAAAAAGAGGGTTGGGGATATGGCTCAGTGTGAAGACCCTGGGTTCAGTCTCTAAAATCGTAAAAGAAATAAGAAGGGCTGGGGATTTAGCTCAGAAGCGCCTACCTGGCAAGTGCAAGGTCTTGAGTTTGATTCCCCCATACAAAAAAAAAAAAAAAAAAAAAAAAAAAAGATTAAAAAAACCGAAAGGCAGATTGCCTCTGACTATCCGAGTGGAACTTCCTATCTGAAGCTGTTGGATGAATGAGTTGGTTTTTGATTTGGGGAGTAATCAACAGAGAGCTAGATTTTAAAACCTGCCGGGCTGGTTTAGGACTTGGATGAGTTTGTGACAAGAGGAACTGATCAGTGGTATGGGGAGGGGGCTCTATTATCCTCGGTGGGCACCATACAGTGTGCACCAGTGGCCGGTGCTGTGTCACCAACGTTACTTTCTAGAGTCAAGGGATATCCTGACAGTATCAAATCCCAACCAGTGTTCGTCAGGCAGAGTGAAGCCCTGGCGCACCTTTCCGCCTCACTTTATGAACGCGCCACTTGGGCCGGTGACGGGCCGCGGCATCCTTCTACAGAGCCACAAGCAGTTTCTGTGGTCTCTCAGTTCTTCAGCCAGGGAAACCGGCTTCTGAGAAGCTCCGTCAGCACGGAGCTTCGGCACGACAAGACTGAAGTTCACGTAATAATAAAAGCAGCGTTAACGGTGCAGGGGACCCTGTTAGCGGTTTTTGAAAGGTTGCTTCTGAGCCTGAAGCAGCCACCCCGCGGCCAACGCTTCGTGGGCCTCGGCGCAGACCTTCTGCAAGCAGAGCCAAGCCCTCGCGCCCGGTCTTCCGAAAGTGAGCTCTGCGAGTCCCGCCTCGGGTCGCACCTCGAAGACTACGCGTCCCAGCATGCCGCGCGCGCCGCCGCTTCCGGGTTGGCTGAGCCGGAGCCGCTCCAGGAGCAGGCGGCTGTGTTCCCGGCGTGCGCCATGGAGCCGGACTGCTGGCTGATCGGAGGCGAGTTCGAAGACTCGGTGTTCGAGGAAGGACACGAGCGGCGGCCTGGGCCCCCCGCGCCCTGCGGCGCCAAGCACTGCGAGCCGCAGGTGAGAGGGTGGCCCTGTTCCGGGCCGTCGGCGGCGGGCCTCACCCGGCCTCCTGTCCTCGGGCCGCCGTTCCGAGCCGCACGACCCGCGGAGCGCTGGACCGGCCGGCAGCGCAGGACTTTGCCTCCTGGGAGCGGTCCGAGTCAGCCGGGGAACCGCGTCCGTCCCGGCCGCCTGCTGCTCTCCTCCGCGCACTCCTCGTCTCAGGCCCTGGTGCCGCGGGGCCCACGGCCGGGGGGAATGAGGGGCGCACCAGTGGAACTACAGGTTGCGTGGTAGCTCTGTCTCCGCTCGCGAGGGTAACCCTCGCCTCACTAGTGGCTAGCATTTGCGGAGCACATACGAACCCCTCCCCTCATCTCCCTCAGCAGGTGTGGCTAGAAGATGCCGGGCGCTGCTCAGCTGTGGTTTTGTTTCAAGTGCATTTCCCCTGATCACGTGCAATCGTTTAGCATACCGCCAGTACCCAGCTGTGTAAACTATTAGGGAACGGGCTGGCACCGCGAATGGAGGAGTACTATAAAACCAGGTTAGAAGTGGTTACCAGTGGCACTTTAGGATATCAGTTCCTTATTTAAAGTTTGGCAGAAGTGGTACAGTAGGAGATGGTGGCACGTGCCTCTAATACCAGTAGTCAGGAGGCTGAGACAGGAGGATCTTGACTTGAAGGTTTACCTAGGCTACACAATGACACCCTGTCTTCAAACAAACTTGCTCACAGGTTTATCATGGGTGTGAAATGATGTCTATGGAAATACTTGGTTGTGATGTGCTGTGTACAGTACTGAGGGAGTAAAAGTCCAATCTGTTACATTGTGTGTGATACAGGAGTGTGAAAGTATGCCGCTGACACAGGCACTCAGAGCCATTAGTCAGGTTGTACTGGTTTCCTAGGAGTTTGGGTTGGAAGATTCCTGTTCAAAGTCTGCTCAGATGCTGCAAGGACAGGAGGTTTACGGTGCACGTGGACTCCCACCCTTGTTCACACTGTTCTTGCCTCCTTTTGTCAGAAGGTGGTATTTGAAGGCCTTGTCTGTGTATTCTTCCGGGCCTGTGGGAGAATAAAAATAGTTACTAGAAAGCCTGCTTTACTTGGCCTTCTCCAGTAGGATAAGTGAGAGGCAGTTTATAGGTGACTGTGCATAAAGTTGGGAGTGGCTAATCTAAAACAGTGTGACTGGAGAAAAACCAGAGACAGCCAGTTCCTAGAGGGACGCAGTGCTTGAGGGAGAACAGAAAAATGGTTCCTAACTCTATCCACTTAGATAGATGGGGCCTTCGAGAGATGCCTGTGTTAAGAGGGATGCTGATACTCAGGCCATCCTTCGAGAGGATGGTGGTAATGGAGCAGTCACAGATGTTGTTGTATTGAATTAATAGTGTTAACTAGTGATAGATTTTCTTCAGCCATAGTGTGCTTTGCTGTGGGTTAAAGGGAGTATGACATTTCTTTGGAGCTGGAAAACCACACACAGTGCTTGTCCTCATAGCTTATGTTCTTCTTTTTCAATGATTAAGAAATTTTAGTCTTTCCTTTCTATCCAGAGGACTTAAGTCAGTAAAGTCTCTGTGTATTTTTTTTTTCCCCTCTTTATTTTTATTTTTGGTACTGGGGATCGAACTCATGACCTTGCACTTGCCAGGCAGGTGGCTTATACTGCTGAACTAAATCCCTCTCTTTAAAACAAATAAAATAAAATGTTCATAGGCAATAAAATACTCAGCAAGTCTCCCAGGTGGACATTGCCTCCTACTTTGATTTTACAAACACTACTCAGTTACCTTGAAGCCTCCTTTTGGCCTTTGTTTCTATTTCCTTTGCTTAGATTCCACTTTTGTGCCTTTACAGTGCATCCCTACTAGCACTGCGACAGTCACTCTTCTCTCTTGTGTCCTTTACCTAAAGAATTGTCAGTCCCTGTTGCTGCCACTCTGAAGTTGTGCTATAAGAATCAGAGTGCTGGGGCTGGGGATTTAGCTTAGTGGCATAAGTACCTGCCTTGCAAGCAGGCAGTTGTGAGTTCGATCTCCGGTACCGATAAAAATGAAAAAGACAGAAAAAAAAAAAAAAAAAAAAGAATCAGACTGCTGAGTGTGGTGATGCACAGCTGCGTTCCCAGCACTCAGGATGGCTGCAAGTTGGAGGTCAGCTTGGCTACAGAGTGAGTTCAAAGCCAGCCTGAACTACATAGCAAGACCCTGTCTCCTCAAAAAAACCAAAAGACAAAACACACAAAAACACAGTGAATTGGGGTGATACCATCATAGGTTCCCAGGCAGCACACCATGTATTAGAAAGATTATGCTTTTCTGAGTGTTTTATTGCGTGTGAATATTTTATTTTATTTGTTTTAAAGAGGAAAAAAATATACACAGAAAAGGAAAAAAAAGCAAAAGAGACAACAACGAAAACGCAAAACAATAACAATATAGGCTTTCAAAACAAGATCTTAGGAATTTAACAGTGGTTTTATATTGCATATTGTAACCTTCAAAAGAGTTGCTTAGATTACCAGATATAGACATACAAAACTGATCTAGTAAGTTTTCACTGTTCTCTTCCAAGAACTAATAGAATTAGTATAGTATAGTCATCTCCTAGCTATCTTTTGAGGGTGTGTGTGTGTATTCACACACTGTCTCTCTCTCTCTCACAGACACACACACACACAAATCTATTTTTTCTCTTCCTTCTTTTCTCCTTTCACCTGTCCCAGTTATTTTTCCCCTTTGAGCAGTTTCTTGCTCTTTCACCTTTTCATTTATTGTAGATTTTGGATCTTATTTAGTCTTTCAGTTTCTTTCACCAGGGAGACAATACAGTGTTTACACATGTGAGTCTGATTTATTTCACTTATGAATATGGTCTTAAGTCTCATCCATTTACCTATACATGCCTTGATTTGATCCGTTTATAGCTGAGTAGTATTCCATTGTATAAAAATATCATATCTTTTTTATCTATTCTGTGATTGGTGGACATTTGGGTTGTTTCCAAGATTTGGCTGTTACAAATTGTGGTGCTGTAAACATCGGTGCAGATACATCACTGTGGTAATGATGTTTTCAGTTCTTCTGGGAATATGCCCAGAAGCAGGATAGCTGGGTCAAATGGGACCTGTAATCCTAGCTTTTTGTTTTATTGGTACTGGGGATTGAACTCACGACCACTTGCTTGCAAGGCAGGCACTTAAGCCGCTGAGCTAAATCCCCAGCCCCAATCCTAGCTTTTTTGAAGAACCTCCACAGTGGTTGCACAGTCTACACTCCCACCAACAGTGCAGAAGAGTGTAGAAGAGTTCCTTTTTCCCCACAGCCTCTCCACCATTTGTTGTTTATTGATTTCTTGATCTTGGCCATTCTTTCTGGAGTGAGATGGAATCTTGGCATTATTTTAATTTGCCTTTCTCAGGTGACCAGTGATACTGAACATTTTTTCATATGTTTATTTGCCATTTGTATTTCTTTATCTGAGAACTGTGCATTTATCTCAGATCCCATTTTTGGGTTGGGTCTTTGAATTTTGGAGGCTTGATTTTTTTTTTTTTAAATTCTTTATATGTTTTGGATAGAAGTCCTTTGTCTGAGGCATAGTTGGCTAAGATTTTTTTCCCCTAATTTGTGGGTTTTCTTTTCACTCTGTTAGAGATTTCTTTTGGCATGCAAAAAATTTTTAATAAGATGAATCCCAGGTGTTGATTCTGGGAAGTATTTCCTATGCAGTTTGATTTTTGTTCATAAATTCTGTCCCAACTCCTATGTCTTCATGATTTCTACCTACTTTGCCTTCCAGCATATTTAGTGTTTCTGTTTTAATATTTAGATCTTTGATCCATTTTGATTTTAGCTTAGTGTATGGTGATAGGCATGAGTCTGGTTTTAGTTTTCAGCATATGAAGAGCCAGTTTTTCCAGCACCGTTTATTAAAGAGGCTTTCTTTCTTCCAGTGACTATGTTTGGCCCTTTTATCAAAGATAAGGTGCCTAAGTGTGTTTGTAGCTGTGATTATATTTTCTAATCTATTCCATTGATCTTCAGCTCAATTTTTATTCTAGTACCTGCTGATTTTATCACAGAGCTTTATGGTATAATTTCAAGCCAGGGATTTTGATGCGTCCTGCTTTGCCTTTTGTTGCCTAGAATTGTCTTTGCTATTCTAGGCCTCTTCTGGTTCCAGGTGAATTTTAGGAACAATTCCTCTAGATCTGTGAGGTAGGCTAGTGGTGTTTTGATTGGAATTGCATTAAATCTGTATAACAGTTTGGGAGAATGGCCATTTTCACAATGTTTGTTCTTTGTATCCATGAACAAGGAATGTCTTTCCATTCTCTGAAATCCTCTTTGCTTTCTTTCTTCAAAGCACTGTAATTTTCAATGTATAGATCTTTTACTTCCTTTGTTAAATTGATTCCTAAGTATTTCATTTTTTGGATGCTATTGTGAAAGGTGTGGTTTCCCTTATTTCTCTCTCAGTGAGTTTGTTGTTTGTGTACAGCAATGCTATTGATTTTTATTTATCTATTATTTTTGGTACAGGGGATTGAATTCACAAACTTGTGCTTCCCAGACAGGCGTTTTGCCACTGAGCTATAATCCCAGCCCCTGTGATTTTTGAGTGTTGACTTTGTATCCAGCTACATTACTGAATTTGGTTATTACATCTACAGGTATTTTAATGGAGTGTTGGGGGTCTTTTATGTAGAGTATCATGTCCTCTGCAAATAATGATAATTTAACTTCTTCCATTCCTATCCTTATTCCTTTTATTTCTCTCTCTCTGGCTCTCTCATCTGATTGCTCTGGCTAATATTTCTAGAACTATATTGAATAGGAGTGGTGATAATGGACATTCTTGTCTTGTTCCTGATTTTAGGTTGAAGCTTTCATTTTTTGTCCATTTAGGAGGCTGTTGGCTGTTGGTTTATCATATATGGCTTCTATCAGATTGAGGCAAAGACCATCTATTCCGATTTTCCATGGAGTTTTTATCATGAATGAGTGTTGGACTTTGTCAAATGCTTTTTTGCATCTATTGAGATGATCATGTGATTTTTGTCTTTGGCTCTATTGATAGGATATTATATTTATTGATTATATTTATTGAACCATCCTTGTATTCCTAGAATGAATCCACTTGGTTGTGGTGTTTAATCTTCTTGATGATTTGCTGCATTCTGTTTGCTTGTATTTTATTGAGGATTTTTACATCTGTGTTCATTAGGGAGACTGGCCTATAGTTTTATTTTTTGGTTGGATCTTTCTCTGGTTTTGGTATTAAGGTAATACTTGCTTCCAGAATGAGTTTGGGAGAATTGCTTCCGTTTTAATTTCACTGAAGAGTTTGTGGAGTGTTGGCATTAAGTTTTCCCTAAATTTCTTGTAGAATTCAGCAGTGAATCCATCAGGACCTGGGCTTTTCTTTGTTGAATTTCTGGAATGTTGATTATTATATATGTCTGGGTGTAGATTTTTTGGTTATGGCTAATTGGAGTTCTATATGCTTCTCTTATCTGTATGTCAGTTTCTTTTCCCATGCTTGAGAAATTTTCTGCTATTCTCTTTATATCATTTGTGTTGTCGCCTTTTTCATTTACATCTATCATTCTTATATTGTTTTCCTTTGCATTGTCTTGCAACTGTTGAATTGTTATTTCTTGTTTCCTTGTTATTTTTAAAAGATCTTTCCTTTTCCGATTACTAGCTGCAGTCTTATCTTCAAGGTCTCAAAGTCTATCTTCACATTCATTCAGGTGACTTTGCCAGCATTTGATGGAATTTTTCATTTCTTGGATATCTCTTTGAATCTGTTTCATGCCTTCTAAATTTTTCCTATATTGTTCATTCAAGGTTTCCATTATTTTCCAATGCTCCTCTATTTTTTTTAACTATGTCTTTCATTACGTTTATCATTTCTCATTTTACCTTGGAGATTATTTCTGATCTGATTTCCTTTACAGCTTCATGGAGTTGTTTCTTTACTTTAGTTGCTGTCATTTCAGAAATTTCAGGTGTGTGACTTACACTGTCTTCTGTGTTCCTGTCTCTTGGAATTGTTGGAATAGGCTGGAGCTTTGAGATTGCATTTTGCTCTTTTGTTTTATGATTTTCCTGTATTCCCCTGGAGCAGCCAAACGCAAAGTCCCAGTTGCTTCCTGAGTTGGCAATGGCTGTCATTCTGGAGGAGTTCTTCCTGGCTGAGTGGGGGGTATTAGGCAGGCCTTTCCCAGGCCCTGCAGTGCACTGAGACTGAGTGGAGTGCTGGTCAGACCTTTAGCAGGCCCCATCCACGTGGTGTACTGATGCTGTCTGGCTGGTTGCAGTTACTGGGCATGGCTTCACCAGGTCCAGTGGGGTGCAGTGATGCTTCCTGGCTGGGGTGGCATACACTAGCTGGACCTTCGGCAGACTCCACGCAGTGTATTGACAGTCCCCAGCTGGTTGGGGGTTGCTGGTGGGGCCTTGCCCACCTGTGACCATTTTAATAAAAACTAGGCCATCACTGAAATTGTCTGTCTTTGCCTAGTGTTTCCCCTCAGTTTCATCCTGAAGAACTGTCTGTTTTGTAAAAGTTTAACCAGCTATATTATGGAAATCACTTCTAATTGTGAGATGGAAAAGCATGGCTTCCCTCTCAGTAATGTGCTCTTTTCGTGACTTCTAGTGGTTTGATGAAGAAACAGAGAGCAGTGATGATGTGGAAGTTCTCACTGTCAAGAAGTTCAGAGGAGATCTGGCGTACAGACGTCAAGAGTATCAGGTGGGAGTCAGTGCGTGGGACTATGTGGCTTGAAGTGGGGTCTTGGCTGTCAGTTACAGCACATGCAGACATATAACTGGGCACTTCCCCCAACCCCCTTTTGCAGAAAGCGCTACAGGAATATTCCAGCATCTCTGACAACTTGTCCCCTACCAACTTTGCCATGAGAAGAGACGTCCAGGAATCCCAGGCTCGCTGTCTGGCTCACTTGGGAAGGCACCTGGAGGCACTGGAGATCGCTTCCAACTTGGTGAGTGGTTGTAGCAGCCTGTTGATCCGGCCTGCGGATCAATCCGTGGGGTGTACCTGGAGCAGGAATGGGGATTAAATAAAGACATAGGGGAGACAAAGAGAGATGGAAGCAAGTCGAGAGAATCCGATCAAGCCCACTGTTTATTCCAGCCAAGGGTGGGAGGTGGGACAGGAAGAGGCTATGGGGATGAATATAACAGGGTCACTGTCATGTCCGGGTATGTGACATAAGCAGGAGAGGATTATGGTTAATGTAGGCAGACGCAGTGCCCATAGGAGAGAGCTAGGCAGGGAGACAGCAATGGGGCTCCCTACATCTCTTCCCTTTCTATATTATTTAATCAGGAGTATGGCAGGCCCTGCCGGACAGCGTCTGTCTTAGGTCAAAGACCTCATTGCATGAACCCAACCAGGCCTTACCTGTCATGGGCTTGCAGAACAGCAGTTGGTCCTGTGCCTGTCTTAGGTGGCCGATGGAATTAACATGCATGTCCTAGTTGCCTGTCTCTGACTGCCTGTCCATTGCCCCAGGGCAGTTAGGCTGCATCGTCATATGGGCCACTCGTGGGAATTCCTTCCTGGTAGGTTTGTTGATCTGCCATCTCCAGCTGATGATAGTGTACCTGAATGGGCTTTGCCATAAACGTGTCTATCCGGTTATTAATGAGCGTCATAATCCTCTGAAAAATACAAGGACTCACAGAAAGGAGAAGCAATAGGGCAGCTAGGGGACCCAAAAGGGGCGCTAGGTAAGGGAAAAGCTCCCCCCACACACACACACACACATATTGAGAAGGGGCTGGCAGCCATTTGTTGGTGTCTCTGTTGAAGTCATTCTCCTATGTCTTGGAGCTTGCCTCACATAACACTGGACGCAGTCTATTTGGCTGGTGTATGTTCCTCCAGACCGAGAAGAGCCTCTTCCGCAGTCACAGGGGTTCTGTGCATGGCTGTCAGCAGTTGTAGTCTGTTTGGCGGGGTGGTATGGCTCAAGGAGAAGGCTGAGTAGACAGCATAGGGCTCAGGGGAGTTGTGTCACCTGTAAGAGAACACGGGATTGTGCCTCAGGAAATGACATTATTCCTGGGCGTTATATGGGGTCTTTGAAGAACTGTCTACTTGTTTTATGAGGTGCTCAGGTAGCCATCTAGCTTCTCTCTCTTGTTGAGAGTAAACACACACTGAACCTCGTCCCCAGATAAGGACTGGGTCGGGGCCATTCCACATATTGGTTAGTGGGTCCCTCCATAAAGACGCAAACCATGTTTGAGTTTGAGCTCCAAGATGCCGTGGAGCATCCTGAAGCATCCAGGGTCAGAAAATTTAAAATAAAAAGAGCATGTGAAAGGACATTTCTAGGAGACCCCTGGGTTGGGTACCATGTCTCCCTTTTTATTTTATCTATGGTGAATTTAAGGGAACGATGCGCATGTTCAACAATGCCTTGTCCCTGAGGATTATAAGGTATACCTGTGGTGTGGAGAATATTAAGGCGCTTGCAAAATTGAGCGAAGGAGGTGCTGGTATAGCCAGGGCCATTATCGGTCTTGAGCTGTTGAGGACATCCCAGAACTGAGAAGGCTGATGGCATATGGGCTAAAATGTGCCTGGCGGTTTCTCCAGTCTGGAGAGTGGCAAAAATGAAGTCACTGTATGTGCCAATAATGACATGTATATATTTTAGGTTGTCAAACTCATTGAAATGAGTAACGTCCGGGGCTGGGGATTTAGCTCAGCGGCATAAGCACCTGCCTTGAAAGCAGGCAGTCGTGAGTTCCATCCCTGGTACTGATAAAAAGGAAAAAGACGGGGCTGGGGATTTAGCTCAGCGGCATAAGCGCCTGCCTTACAAGCAGGCAGTCGTGAGTTCGATCCCTGGTACCGATAAAAAGGAAAAAGACAAAAAAAAAAGAATAAAAAAAAAAAAGGAAAAAAAAAAAAAAAAGAAATGAGTAACGTCCATTTGCCACAAGGTGCTAGGGATTAAACCTCTTGAGTTGACTCCTAGGTGTTGAACAGGTAAATGGATAGCACAAGAGGGGCAATTTTTTACAATTTGTCTGGCTTGCTCACAGGTAATTTTGTGGAGGAGGCGGAGGGTGTGAGCATTGAGGTGGTGTAGCTGATGGGCCTGTTGGGCCTCAGACACCTTGGAGTCATGAGTCATAAAAACCTGTGCTCGTACAGCAACATCAGCCAAATGATTTCCTCAGGCAAGGGGCCCAGGGAGGTTGGAATGGGCCTGCACATGACCAATAAAGAACTTATGACGGCGAAGCCATATGAAGTGTTGTAATTGTTTGAACAAATTTGCAGCTGGGGAAGCATGACAGATGGTAGCAACAGTCTCCAATAATGGAACAGACTGAGCAAGGTAAGCACTGTCAGTATACAAATTAAAGAGTCGGTCGGAGTAAGCGGTAAAGGCTGCAAGAATAGCTTGTAACTCTGCTGATTGGGCAGAGGAGGTGTCTGGAGGGTAAAAACATTGTCTTGGGATACATAAGCAGCCCTGCCGGAGGAGGAGCCATCAGTGAATAACACCAGGGCCCCTGGAAGAGGTTGTGGAGCTGTGATCTTAGGGAATATAAATGGGTGACGGTTGGCAAAGTCAGCCAGCTTATTTGGAGGGTAATGATTGTCGATAGTCCCTGAAAAGGAAGCTAAGGCAATAAGCCACACTTCCGTAGTCTGAAGTAGCCAATCTATTTGGTCCTTTGTAAAAGGTTGAATGATAATGTCTGGTTCTTTGCCAAAATAACATTTTCCTTGCTTTCTACCCTGAATTATTAGGTCTGAGACAGCCTGGAAATAAAGCAGGAGTGTTCTTTTTGGGGAGACTGATAAATGGACCCACATGAAGGGAGCTTGTTGCCAGAACACTGCTGTGGGACAAAGCTTTGTATTAAAAATGAGAAATTGTAAAGGCTCATTGTAGTACATAAAGGAAACAGTTTGTTGAGCAATAGCGTCTTCTACTTTACTGAGCGCTCTCCTGGCATGAGGTGTAAGCTCTCAGGGGGAGGTTGGATCTATGTCTCCCCGAAGCAGCTCATAAAGGGGCTGTAAATCATGTTTAGTTAGTTTTAAAAATGGTATGAACCAATTAATGTCTCCCAATAGTTTTTGGAAGTCATGAAGTGTTCTGAGGCCATCAAGCCTCAGTTGGGGCTTTGGAGAGAGTACTTGAGTGCCACGTAACTGAAAACCCAAGTATGTATATGGATCAGTAAACTGTACTTTATCAGGGGCTATTTGAAGTCCAGCCTCTTGTAAGGCAACCTGTAAGCCCTGGTAGCACCATAGGGTTTGGTTTTGGTCATCTCCTGCCAAGAAGATATCGTCTATATAATGGGTAATATAGATATGTGGCCAATGATCTCTGACTGGCTGTATCGCAGTGGCTACAAAAGACTGACATAGCATAGGGGAATTAGCCATCCCTTGTGGGAGGACTCACCATTGAAATCTGTGCATAGATGCTCTGAAATTAATTGATGGAAGGCTAAAGGCAAAACGTTTTTGGTCATCTGGATGCAAGGGAATAGAAAAAAAGCAATCTTTAAGATCTATAACAATTTTAAAATAACCTAAAGGTATAGCACTAGGTGAAGGGAGGCCTGGCTGTAATGGCCCCATTATGACCATAGTCTTGTTTATCACCCTGAGGTCTTGTAGTAGCCTCCATTTACCTGATTTTTTTTAATGACAAAAATGGGAGTATTCCATGGTGAATCACTAGGTATTATGTGGCCTGCATTTTTTTTTAAATTTTTTTTTTTGTCTTTTTCCTTTTTATCAGTACCAGGGATCAAACTCACGACTGCCTGCTTGCAAGGCAGGCGCTTATGCTGCTGAGCTAAATCCCCAGCCCCTGTGGCCTGCATTTAACTGGTCCTGCACCAGCTGTTGAGCAGCCATAAGTTTTTCAGAGGTAAGGGTCCACTGATCGACCCATACCGGCTCTTCTGATAGCCATGTAATTTGTTTAGCATGGATTGCAGGAGTGTCAATGGCCCCTATGAAAAATGGCCTAACCCAGCTTTGGCATTGTTAGGGGTGGGAATAATGGGATCAGTAATGCCCATGTTATTTTTTCCTAGCCCTTATTAAGCATTTGCACTGTTGCAACATTATTAGGGCTTCCCATAATTAATCCCATTTGGGAGAGTAGGTCTCTTCCCCATAAATTAAGAGGCAGACTCTCTATGACATAAGGTTGTAAGTGTCCCTGATTACCTTCTTGATCTCCCCAAACCAGTTGTTTGGAACTGCATTGTGGATTTTTTGAGCGTCCAATCCCTTGGAAGTGTGTTAAGGTTGTTTCTAAAGGCCAGGCAGTAGGCTACTTCTCCTTTTTGATAATGGTAACATCTGTGCCCATATCAAAGAGGCCTGAGAAACTTTTTCCATGTAAATATAGAGTCATGAGGGGCTTTTCTTTGGAGATACATTGGGCCCAATATACATCAGAAGTTCCAGGAAGGGAGTCCCCCCTATAGGGAGTTATGGATTTGTTAGACGTTTGAGCCAACGGCAGTAGCAGCAATTGAGCAAGGCGTTGCCTTGTCCTAACTGGTATGACACCGACAAGGGGAGAAACCATGACTTTTATTTCCCCTGTGTAATCACTATCTACTGTCTCGGGCAGAACTTGTAATCCTTTAAGTGTAGTGCTACTACGTCCAATAATAAGTCTACTACGTCCAATAATAAGTCCAAAAGTCCCAGGGGGAGGGGGCCATAGATTCCTGAGGGCATGACCTAGACACCCATGTCAGGGTTTAATACTGTGTTGGAGGTGGAACAGAGGTCCAACCCTGCACTCCCTGGGGTTGCCCTGAAGAGGTCTGAAATGGATTGTTTTGTGCTGGGACAAACCTTGGAGCTCCAGGGGTTTGTCCGAAATTGGGGGCCTGGGGCTGGCCCTGTATCCTGTTTCCCTGCGGGGGAAGAGGGTTATGGTGAACATCTCTTTTGGATCTGCACTCATTAGCCC